CAATAGCCCCAAACAAAAGCTAAGGCTAGACAAGTAAAATGGAATAACTTAGTTAGTACCTGCTGGCTGATCCACTAGCCAAAATCTTGAAAAACTTTCAATTTTTAATTTTACATCAGATTTTACACTCTCGCCATGTACTAAGGATTTTTAAATTCTAGTCCAGTTATTCCTGTAGCCTGTAACTGCCTTGAGACTTCTACAGTGCTCATCACTACAGTGTCTGGACAGCTCATATATATTAATGAGTTTACCTTCACAACATCTATCTGAGGTAGGGAAATAATATTATCCCCATTTCAAAAACAGAGAGAGGTCCAGTAGCATGAGGATGGGCGAGCAGGGCATGAATGCCAGAATGGAGCCGAGGGTGCCTCACCCTCCTGTTCCTATTCCCACATCTGCACTTTCTGGCTCCAGCCCCAGTAGCGAACAGCATTCATGCAGGTGTGTGTGTTAGTGAGTGAAGGGCATTCTGGGAAATATGGTTCAGTAGAGCAACCGCACAGTTCACTGCTGATGAGAAGAGATGTCACCCCAATTTTTGCAGCTGAAAACATGAGGGGGTTTTTTCTGATTGTTTTGTCTGTGGCAAAACAACAAAGTGACATCTCCTTGCAGCAGAAAATTTCAGCTGTCTCAGGCATAGTCGTGGCCAGTTATGCCTCTGGAAAGATCAGGTAAAAAGCTCATGCTGGGTCAGAGCCAGGAACAGACCACAGATTTCCTTGGTCCCAATTTTCTTCCTAAAACACAAGATCATCCTTCATCTCTAATGCTACCAAATTATCTTTGGCTACCAAATTATTAAGAATACAAAATTAATTATAATATCTAGCTTGTCTCTGGATAAATCCTCAGCAACTATTTCCTATGCTGTTTAGAGTTCTGCTTTGGTTACAGAGATAACCTATTCCACAGTTACTCGAATACTTAGTGTAGCAAAACTATTTAAAAGGCTCTCTTATAAGAAGAGGATGAAATCAATCCTTATTTTATCTCAGCTGATGAACTCAACCATATTAACTAAACCTATAATAACTTGAGTTAAGGAACTTTTCTATTCTCTTAAAATTCTAGAATAGACATAACTCTGAAACTACCAATATTGAAAACCTCCTCTTCATTTCAAACTAACCTCTGACAAGAGGATTTTTTTTTCATATGTCATAAAAATTTCCTTTGAAAAGGAGATATTAAATTGGAAGCAAGACATACTATGGAATGATTTCTAGTGCATGTCAATGCATCCACTACTATTCCATTCACCCCACTCTACTGTATCTCTTTACTAATCATCTTGTTTCTTCAGCTCAGTCGCAATTTTATGCTTTCTTTTACACTGTTTCATGCCACAGACACAAGTTATATTAGTGGCACTACAAAAAGCGAATATACACAAATGCATACTCTGTGGTGCTAGAAAAATGGCAGATCTGCCACAAAATATTCCCATTTGAAAAAGGAACTTCTCTGTAGTGCTACAGGAGGTCTCTTGGTCGCCCCACATCCCACAGTGCTCTTCTCTGCCTCCTCCCCTCCGAGGGCACCCTGATAGCTGCCTGGAAGCAGAGCTGCAGCCCAGCCAGGAGCTGGGGTTGTAGTTCTGTTCACTGCAGGAAACTGCTGAGTAGATCTTCTTGGGGAACGGTGGCAGGACTGGTACTGCTAACCCCATGGCAGTGGCAGCAGGAACAGCTGCTGCACCTGTGAAGGCAGTTGCAGAGAAGCCTGCTGCCGATACAGCATTGAGCAGGTGGCAGTAGCTTCCCCCACAGAGGGGAGGGCAGCAAGCTGGTCAAGCAGCTGATGCTGCCTTCCACAGAAAATTAACAGCCTGCCTTTTCCCCCTTCCCAAGCTATCCATGACTGGGGAGTGAAGGAGCAGCTGCTCTTTTTGAATCTACAAGGCAGGCAACTTCTGAATTGGAAAAACAGATCGTATCCTTTTTATCCTCAGTGCCAATAGAAAAACATTTTGTTTTCCCTATCTTTCTGAAGAAGGGGAAGAAAGCTTTGCCTCAAAAGAAAATATTTGTAGTAAGCAAGCTCAGATGTACCTGCTGTAGCACTAAGCCAAATTCCAAGAAAGACAAGTTGTTGCCTTGTAGGCAATAGAAAGAAAAGTATTTAAAATGAAAAAAGGGAGATTCCTACACAAACTCAATTGTTTAAGAAATACATTGGATTTCTTAAAACTTCTCTCATACAATGAGGTCAACTTGCATTGCCCTCAGGAGAAAAGACAATACTAGCCTGTTCGTTAGCACCTTTTTTATATTGGCAAAAACAAATCTACTGGAGGAAAAAGCAATTTATACAGAAAGCTCCCACAGAGGTTTTTATTATCTGGGAATTCCAGAGTTCAGACTGATTTTGAGGTTGACAGATAGCATAGTGAAACAAAGGAAAGAAAACTTTGTCAGGGATACTTAAGAGAGAACCAAAACTATGCATTACAGCCTGATCCTGCAACCTGTTTCATGCACACAGTTGCCTGCTGCAATGGAATCAGAGATCTCTGAAGTGAATGGGACACCACCTGAGTACAGGCATCTGCATGTTCAGGCTGTGGAACAGAACAAGGCAGCTGAAGGAAACCCTTGAAGCCCTTTTCCTATAGTCTTCTAGTATGGACTTAAAGCTTTAAATAAATGTACTAAACTTAAAAAAAATTGCTTAATAAAGAACTTATTGATTATAACATTTAAATTAAAATATGTTAATAAATTTTATTTGTGCTGATCCACAGCTTTAGCTGAACTGATTCCAAAGTGTTATACTGTCCAAAAACAAATAGCAGTCCACAACTTAACTTAAATGATTTCATATAGGAGAGAATTGGAGCTGATAAAAATATAACAAAGCATGCAAATGAAAGAGAGAAGTCTTTCTATATGGGACTGGTAAAATTGCCTACATGATCTTGATTTGGCCAGGTAACAGAAAAGTTGTTTTGTTTTGGGGTTGGTTTTTTTTTGGAGGGGGGGAGGGGAAGAGGGCAAGGGGTTTAAGTAAATCTTAGCAGTTGCATTTGAAACAGCAATTGAGTATATATGTTGATTGATCTTTAAAACTTTTTTGCACTGATGTTATGACTTTTCTTGGCTTTAGGTAAGGTTAGTAATTTCCATAGTTTGAGAAGAATAAATGAACTAAAACAGGGAAGATCTCAATCTTTTTCTTAGCCTGAACTATAGGTTAATAATAAATTAGAATCTTCTTGCACATGTTTTATTCAGGGAACAGCTTCCCTCCATTCATGCCTATAACTCATCCCTGTGGCATCTACAGCAATGGCTTACATGAAAAAAAAAAAATCAATACTAGTTTTTAATGTATACAATCATTTTCCTTTAAATTCCATTTTGAAGATAGACTCAAGGTGAGGAGAAAGCGCCATGTGATCAGGCAGTTCTTTGCAGACCCTGGGACATCCAGAGACTGCAGTGTAAGAACTAGCAGTGTCAAGAATATTCTAACATACCTTAAGTTTCCTACAATTATTAAAAGAAAAATTCCCCGAGTATAAATGTAAGCAAAATGAACTGTGCACTAACAATGTCAGCATTACATTGCTCCAATCTGCCCCTCTTTACACTGCATACGTTTTCTTCATACCAATTAACTGTGTACAGAATTGAAATCCAATGGCTGCTCTTACAATATTGTCATTCTGGAAAAGTAAATAAATTATTGTCTAGTGACTTTTTTTAATTTGTAGTAAAATGGAAAAAGGGATTCAGTTTAAGAAGTAGTAACTGCTGTCCAAGGTATTCTATTAAGTCCCACAGGCCCCATCTACACGTTGCACTTAAGACATGATTAACTAGTTAAACATGACTTAAGTGGTCACTTAGCCACATGTTCAGCATGATAAAAAGTGGAATAAGCTACAAAGTTGTTCCACAAAATGTGTAATAACTTTGTAGCCACTTCCTATCCTGCCATTAATTGAACGTGTGACCAGGGGCCCCTGTGGCTGGGAGCCCCATAAGCTGATCAGAGCTTCCGGGGGGGGGGCAGGGGGGAGGGCTCATGTGCACCCTTCAGCCTAGAAACAACCAGATGATGCTGGCTCCCAGCTACAGCAGCACATGCCCCATGGCTGGGAGCTCCATTAGCTGACAAGGCTCCCAGCTATGGATGCGCCCCTGTGCCCAGGACACCAAAACTGACCCAATCTCCCAGCCATGTACTTCTAGAACCCGGAAGTGGACACCAGGGAGCAAGCTAGGGACCCCGCCACGCTCCTATGGGATGCTCCAACCACCCCAGCATAGCAGCATTCAGAAGCTGCCTGGTACCTAGAGGTATGTAGAAAAAACATTTAAAACCTGTGTCTATGTCCAAATCGCCAAATCTTTCAGAATCAATGCAGCAGTTCCGATTCAATTCGGAGAGATTAAAGGGTCCTCCGATTCGATTCGGATTTGGAGATTTGGCCACCGAATTGGGCCGAATCTCCGCCAAATTGAATTGGGGACCGAAGCTTCACATAGCCCTATAGAACATCAGTAAAATTAAAAGATACTAAAGGTAAACGGAAATTGTTCCAACAAAGCCAAGCATTATAAAAGTAAAAGAAACAAACAATTTTTGTACTATAGAAACAGCCACCTGCTCTCTGTCATGCCAGTATCAATCCAGAAGAGCTGCACTAGTCAGATAACTTTTAAAATAGTTTACCTTGATGTATGTTGCTATAACTGAGAAAAATTTAGTCTGTTGCTATTTTCTTTTTTTATACAGTCTTTTAACAGCAGTATATGTGTAGGTACTTTTATTAGCTGTTCATAAAGAGAAAAAAAATCATTAATAGGCTTACAAAATAACTGTTTTCATTATATGTGCATGTCATGTAGTGATGTGCATATTCATATTTAATAGAGCAAAAATTGGTTTCATTAACTAGCATTAGTTCTAACAAAAGTAATGTTTAGACAGACTACAAATGAAATCTGTGATATAAAACAAAAGACAATATAGAACTGACTCACCTAACCATCCTGATCCAGAATTGGGTATGCACATGTCTGTCTCAGCACTGGGCAACACAAATCCAACCACAAAAACTTCTACGCCATCAGCCATTAGAGCCATTCCAAGAACAAAGAAGAGGGCCCACTGAAAACGACCATGGCCACATTCTTGTATAATCAGCTCATACTGCTGTGCTAGTTCTTCCTCATCAGCTTTCCTCTCTGTTTCCAGTTCATTACGATCCTTATATTCATCCCGGATGGGCTGCCCTAAGGCTACCATGCCATCCTTTCCCTGGCCCGTATTTGGGATTCCCTGATATTCTCCTTCATAAATTTCATCATCTTCATCATGCCCTTCGGTTGCTTCACTTGACCCTTCATCATCGTTGGCTTCTCCACCATAATCTCCTCCATGGCCGTAACAGTCATCATCTTCTTCCTCATCTTGGAATCTATTATATGATCGTTGTGTGTATCCATCCTGAGCTTTATTCACTTTTTTCACTGCTTGTCTCTTCACCTCCTTGGCAATATCTTTTGCTCCTTTCACTAATGAAGTCCTATCTTTGTATGAATCTTCCATCTTGTATTAGTGTATGATTGTTGTCCTACTGAAAACAGGCCTGCTAACTTGGAGTATTTACTCTTGGCTAGACATCAATGATGAAGACCTGAGAATACATTCAACTTCTACAAGGTATCTGCAAAATATAAAAGAAAATAAGTTTATTTACACAGTTTGGCCCTTCTCAATTTCTCCCTCACAATGATGCAATTCCAGGTTAAATACTGTCTGGAGGCTGCACTGTAATAGCTGCATTTCCACTACCATAACACAGTACTCCACAGATGTAAAGATAAGTACATACTCTTCTAACATTATTGGAAAAATTATCTTAAAAATCCCAATATCCTTATACATTTACATTATGAAATTTATTGTCTTCCAGTTTCTCAAAAGAAACTACTTTTCAATCCAAAAGAAGAAAAAGCTGTATATATACACACACGTCCTTTAAAGAAAACATGGCTTGATCTCAATTTGTAGAGAACATGTTAGTGATGAACCCTGAAACACAATGTCATTTTCTAGGAATTCAATTTAGTACTTGTGAAAGGCAAATAGATTAACAGCAATGGACCTGTAATTTTATATACAGCTCTTGCCAGTCCAAGCTTTGCTACATGATTTGGTCAATGTGTTTCAGTTTTGACCTGAAGAAACTACTTCCAGTGATGAACTGGTAATTTAGTCTTTATAAAGGCTCAGAGCCTAATTGAAAGCACACTGAAGGCATCTAAAACACTCCTATGTCATCAGCCTTTAGATCAGGGGTCAGCAATGTTTTTGGGCAAAGTGCCCAAAACACCTGCAACCTCGACTTGTAAGATGAAGGCATGCCAGCGGCAGACAGCAGGGAAGCTAAGAGGGACCCAATCCTTGTGGCAGCACAGCTCTGGCTCCTTCTCCACCATTCGCCCCGACACGCGCCAACAAAATACCTTCATGTGCCACGCCCTGGCACCTGTGCTGGGAGTTACCTACCCCTGCTTTGGATCATGCCAGTTTTAAACTGTTTTATTTTGAAACATTCAACTAGGGAAATGGGCTGATATCATTTATCATATATGAAATATTTAGTGGTTAAACTCATTTACTTGTAGTGGCATTTTCAAAAGTAGGGAACTGACTTTGCAATGCAAGTCCTATGGAAGAACAAGCCACTTGGATATTTCTGAAAATGCCAGGCTATCATTTTTTGTCTGAATTTGAACTAATAGGCTAGAAATGATTTTTTAAAATTTAATTGCCATTCTCCTTAGTTTGTAGCTCAAACATTTTAAAACATTAACTTGATTAAACTTTTCCCAAAGCTTCTCAGGCTTTTGGCTAAGGTTGTGTGCTAATTTTAACTAGAAGGGGACAGTCAAACTAAACTACTCTGAATAATTTTTTTGTTTAAGATATGTATAAAGAGAAAAAAATATTCAGTGTAAATTAAAAGAGAACATCTCAAATTGAAAACAAAAGGCTTATATTATTAAAATCACCTTTCCTTATCTATCAAAAACATATTAAATTATTTTTGTCCATTTTAATATTCTTCTTTTTTACTGCTTCCATAAACAAACAGTTCACCCAGTGATTATCTTGCCTCTGAATAATGAAGCAATACCTAGGTTACCAGCACTAATGGAGAATATTTAAAATCAAGTTAAATATTGTCTTTCCTAAAAGCAATTTTTTACTCATGAAAGTCCATTCATCAGCAATAGATATTGCTGTACTTTAAAAAAAAAAAAAAAAGCCAACAACATAAAAACTCAAAAACAACCAAACCAAACCATAATACTGTACTACAGATTTTTCATAAACAAAGTATGTTTTATATTTAGGTTGGAATCTTTAAAAGTGCCCAATACTGGCCAAATAGTCGTGTCTCTAAAGTCAATGGGAGTTTTGCAGCTGAATTCAATGGGAGTAGAGCTGCCATTGTCCCACCCTTAATATATTGTATTGTAAATGTTATCCTTAAAAGTATGTTTCAGACATTGATGTTCAGTTTGCTAATGTTCTTCAGTATAGAAAGAATTATGAAAAGTATTGTGCAAGCTGTAATTTTAAGTAAAAACAAAAAACCCCCACAAAGGCTAAAATCATATACTGATCTAAGGTTACACAGTGTGTTTTAAAAAGCTAAACACAATTTTCTTCAACTGTTAAAGAAATTAATATTTTTCCTTCCCTCCCCCCCCCCCCCCCCCCCCTAGCTTTTTATTCTCTCAAAATAGGTTAATCTTATATACTTGGAATGTTCCACAAAGCAATCATGAGCTTTGGCACCATTGAAATGTTCTGTGCAAACCGAAGCAGTTACCAGAACAGAAACAGAGCACTTAAAAATAGAATTCAATATTTATGAAGGAAGACCATAGTCTAATTTTAGTCTCATAATGTGCCTCTTAAGTAGGTCATTTTGGCAAATCTACTGAGCCAAGACCACTTCAGAAATTAAACTTCTTCAGTTTTCAATGTGCTTCTCAGAAGATATTTTTGATATAGTCTGAACTCAAAATAGGAAGAAATGTGTATCTGATTCTCTGTGACATATCCCTGTGACCATAAGCCTTACAGCACACACTATGACTTACTGAATACACCCTGCTCTAAATTATTCACTACATTTGCCATAATTCTCATGAGTTTGACAAGTATTCTTTTGAGGAGTCTAGACTACAAACTGCTCTCAGATTGTCTCAGAAACAAGGTAATCTGTCCATACAAGTTGATCTCTCTCTTTACTTTGCACCTTATAAAAGGAAGCTTTATTTATAGGCCATAGTAAATTGAGACTATAGTCAGGGGGACAAATAGCATCATTACAGGGCAGAGTGGAGTCAAATTAAGAAGTACTGATGAACATCATGAAAAATTATGAACATACATTTAACTTCAATTCTGAATTTCCTTGATTTTTAAAACATTCTTATAAGGTATTTAACTCTTAATGTTGTTAGTACTCCCTAACATACTTCACATTAGGCTACATTTACACTAGAAACACTTTTTCAATATAGGAATTGGCATAATCCTCCAGTGAAGCACATTTAAAATGCGAGTACAGCTATTCTGGCCAAACTGCTGTATCTTGGTACAGTAAAACCACCCCTATGAGTTAAACAAGCCTTGTGAAAAAGCCATTTGATTGGTAAGGGTCTGTGGCTTCTGGGAATCCAGTTATTTTGGTCAGGGACCACACCTGTTCATATCCATGAACAATGCAACTATGCCAGCAAAAGTCTCTAGACTAGTTGAGAGTCAAGTTTTTGTCTGGGAATTCAAATGTATTATTTAAGATTTATTTTTTTTATCTTGCATAAGCTTAAAAGCAGTACATTTTAAAGGACTTTGACACTGTTCATTTTCAGTGAACAGTGAATTAAGTAATTGTGTCTTCACACAGTACTACAATGAGATTTTGGATGAAAGTGTCTTGGATGATAAGCACAGAGTGGCATTATTTAAAGTCTGATGTACACGAAAGATAGAGTCCCACCTTTTTAATTATATCAGATTGATTAGGTATTAGTAAGTAATTGGAAAATCTGTAGGAAAGTGCTAGCGATGAGTAATGATTTTCTGAATAGTGCATAGTTCTGTAGCATAAATGAGAATTGCATCATCTAATAGGTCTGCTTATTTCCCCTAGATGAGACCTTCAACTCTTATATTCCTTAGTTCATACATAATATTAAAAAAAAGTCAATACAACAATTTCCCAGGAACACAATGATCTTACCTAAAACTGAAATAAAAATGCTTCTTCAGCATCACCCAGAAGCAACCTAATATTCAACAATCTTCAAAATATGAAATTGTTCAGTTTGACATGTCACATTACTACTGTGACTGTCATACTTTTTCAGTCTATGACGTATTTCACAACTTCTTCAAAATCATTTGAGGTACTCACTAGCTGTGCCATGTCTAGCATTAGAGCTAATTCTTGCAATAGGAGTCCATGCAGGAAACTACCATTCAGACAGGTGCATACTCTCTTCTCTCACAAATTCTCCTCTCTCCACATTCACTTACATTTCAATGCTGTGAGCAAACATACTGAAGTCAATGGAGCTACTCAGACTGCACAAATTTAAGCATACACATTACTTCTTTTTGGATGGGGTCTTAGCTTGTAAACTCGTCATTGCAGAGTCTGTTTTTACTTGTTTTATAAATTATTCATCTTACTTTGGGGAGTGAAAAGCTAGTAAAAACATATCCAATTAATTTGATGGCAATGTTTTCCCTTTGTTCTTGTCGAGGCAGTCCCACAGAATGAAGAATTCAGTAACTTTCCAAAGCTACAGTAGAAGACTGAGAATGAAATTCAGAATATTGTTACAGCAGAATTGCAAAAATTAGTGTTATCATGAAAAGGGGTATATACACAACAAAAGTTTTTCATTGATTATGTAGTACTGTACGGCATCCAGACATATTTTCATGAAGAAAGCCTATTTGATTTATATGCCATTAGACAACGTTTCCAAACATGCATTCACTAGAATGAAGTGACTTTGTAAAAGGGTAACTTCATTTGGTAAAATTATACTTTACTCAGACAATACTAGATGCAAAGCTAATGACTTAAATGCAACTGGAATGGAATAAAGATGGAATATTTTACACCTAAAGAAAATTCCTTATATTTTCTCTGATTATTACTCCTATGGACTAGCAAAACTTTGTATCTATTTGATGTCCTTCTTGTTTCAAAATATCATTTTCAGTTTTGCAGTAAGTGAATATTAATCTGACAAAATGACAATGTTACAGACTCCCAACCCAACTTGGAACCATATTCCATTGTACTTGTAATACTTTTTCAAGTAAAGTTTTCTTTTTCTTTTTAAGTTTGTTTTCTTTCTTACAGTATTAAACTGGTAGATGTATGCATTTCTACGAGAGATACTGACTGTCTTAGCTTTTGCTTTTCTCTTCCCCTGTTATTTATTGCTAATAATTAGAGGTGCACCGATACATCAGTCCCATATTGGATTGGCACCAATATAAGGAAAATTGACAGTATCAGCAATAGCTTTTATTGGCTGATGTGGCTAATAACGTCACCGATGCATGTGTGCAGCCACAGCACAACATGCAGGTGGCCAGGAGTGCAGCCCAGCAGCA